GGGGGGGGGGGGCGCTGCGGCAGCGGCGGGAGCCAGGGAGAGAGGAGGGGCCGGGTGGCTTACCCTGCGGGACCCCGGGGGCCGCGGCTCCATGGCCCGGGGTGGCGGACCCGGGCGGGGGACCCGAACCTGGCCGGGCCAGGCAGGCCGGGGACGCGGCGCTGGTTGCCCGGGTGGCTCGGGGCTGTGCGGCCCGGCCGGGTCCGGAGAAGGGGAGGCGGCGCCGGCCAGGACCGGAGCCCGCCCCAGAGGCGGGGCCGAGGGCGGGCCGAGGACGGGGGCGGGGATAGGGAGTCAGACGGATGAACGGGCGGGGGCTAGGGCGAAAAGAGGAGGAGGGGGTGTTCCTGTCCAGACATTCGTTCTAGGGAAGACCTTGTCCTGGCGAGGGGGCGCTTGGCCCGGCGACGGGGCATTGATCAGATGTCCTCGGCTTCCTCCACTGGGAACCCTTGATGGGTCCAGCGTCTCCACCAATCCTATAGACGACCCTGTTTCTCTAGCTTGGACATTTCTCCTTTCTTTCATCCCTTCCTCCCTGACCCTCACTACCCTGCTGACAGCCTCTCTTCCGAGTTCCCAGACGACCCTTCCCTGCTCCCTCTGCACCCTCTGCACACGGCTCTTCTGCCCCTTTTACATGTCACTTCCCCTACTAGGGAGGCGAAACCGAATCTAGGTACCCGGGTGTCAGGCACTGCTCTCTCAGTGACTCCTCTGAACAGTGGACCTAGGGGCGCCGTGGGCAGAAGCGACCTCAGACTGGGGACATCGTCCCTAACTTCTTCCCATCTCCTCCCGTCGCCCGCCACCTGCTGGAGAACCAGGTTCCCGAAGCGCTTATGTTTCGTGCACTTGCTGCCCTCTGGCGGTCGAGTGGGGGCAGCACTGGGGGACGATGGGCAGGAGGCAGAGGACCCCAGCCCACTCCCCCAGACGCCTCATTCTCTCTGGACACGTCCGAGGATCCCCACTCTCCCGTCTCTAGATCTCAGCCCCTCCCATCCCATCTCATCTAGGCCAGAGAGATGACGGAAGCAGGGGACTGGATGTAGAGGGGGCTGTCTTTGGGAGACAGTGAGGGACGTCTAAGGGCAGTGGGAAGCATAGTGCGGGGAGGGGTGTAAGGGGTAGGAACTGCCCAAGTAGGAGAAAGATCGGGAGGTATTAGTCCAGGGAGGGAGAGACTCTGCCATGAAAAATGCCACCACCACCACCACCTAATGCTGACTGAGCCCTTGGGAAGTGCCAGCCTCTGTCCTGAGCTCTTTGCATGGATTATCTAATTTAATCTTCACAACCACTATTCGAAGTAAGGACTATTATTATCTTCAGTTATAGATGAGGGAACTAAGGTTTACAGAGGTTAAATAATTTGCCCAAGGTCATAAGCTAGTAAGTGGCTGAACTGGGATCTGAATTTAAACCTGGGCAGCCTGACTCCAAAGCCGTGTACTTAGTGCTGCACAGTTCTGCCAAAGGCCGTCTGCAGCCTTCCTGCAGTCCCCGTTCCCCTGCAGAATTTGACACTATTGATGCAGCCCGCCACACTCTCTCCCTTGGCTTCTCCAACTCTACAGGAACCCAGTTCCGTCCCCACTTGCTCTGTGTCTCCTCCATTTCCTTTGCTGGAGCCTCCTCCTGTTCCCACTGCCTGATTTTGCTTAATCCCCAAGGCTGAGGCCTTGGCCATGCTATCTTTCTCTCTCTGATCCTCCCTTAAATAAAAAAAATAAGCAATAACATGACAATCACAGCAGCCAATGCTGACTGAACACTTACTTTGTGTTAGGCGTTATGATTATGTAATATGATTCTCACAGCAGCCTGTGAGTTGGTACTATTACTTTCCTATTTTACAGCTGGGAAAATTGAGGTTCAGAGTGGTTAAGTAATTTGCCTAAGGTCACACAGCCAGTACTTTTGGAACATCATTTCAAATTCTGCCAGTTAGAGGCCAAAGTTGGTGCTGCTCAACACCCTGCTGCACACTCCAGGCTTATCTGTGCACGTGGCTTTAAATAGCTCGTCCCCACCTGAGGCAGTGGAGCCCTGAACCCTAGGAGAGTCAGAAACCCTGCATTATCCATGTGAATTGACTAAGTAGCTTTGTGACCTTGCGCAAGTCACTTCACCTCTCTGGGTCTGTGTTTCCTCATCTATAAAATGGGGACAATGATGGGACACCTGAGGGTAAGTGTCATTCAGGTATGTAGATGGGGGCAAGGTATTCCCAGTACCTTCTGCTCCAGTCACATCTAATCAATTGCACTTTCTCCAGTGTTCTTTTCTAGCCCTTGTTCATGCTGAAGCCCTTGCTTCAGTCTGGAATGTTCTCTAAGGTAAGGCCCCTTTTAAAATCCAACTAATAATTCTTCAAAGCCTAAATCCTATGCCTCCTGCTGCAGGGTCAATCCCTCTTTCCTCTGCTCTCTTCTTTCCCTGCTTAGCTTGGGCTGAGGCACCTGGCATCCAGCAAGCCTTTGTTGACGCCCCTTGGGCTCCCGTGCAACCTCAATGCCTCTGACACGGCTCTGCTCACCCTAGAGGGTGACTGTTAACTTAGCTTTCCTACTAAACCGTGAGCTCTCCAAGGGCACAGACTGAGCCCCGTGTTCCCGACACCAGGCACAGTGCCCAGTGCCGACTAGGTGCTCAAAAAGCTTTTTTTGACAATTGAATCTTAGTGTCTCTGTCACAATATTGATCATCCTTCCTCTGTTTTGTATTATGATCGCTACACACGTGTCTCTATTTCTCCCCTAAACCTAAGCTCCTCCAAGATGGGACCATGTCACATTTACCCTCATGTCTCCAGAACACCGCCTTGCTTATAGTCAGTACTCAATGTTCTCACTTGCAAAACGAGGATAAAACAACAGTGACCGCATGGGGTTGCTATAAAGATTGAGCTATGAAAAACACTCTGTGAACTTCAAAGTGCTGTGCAAATGTTGCTTTGGATTCTTTGGGAGAAGTTTGGAAGAAGCAGCTACAGTATGAAGAGAATTCTCTTTGGAGTCAGACGCTATGGGTTCAAATCATGCCTTAGGCACACACTATGTCAACTTAGAATAATTTCTGTCTTCCCATCTGTCCAGCAGGAATAATAATGCCCACCTGGTGGGGTTGAGGTGAAGATTAAATGAGATCATGTATAGAAGCGTATACTGCTGGACCTGGTGCATAGTTGATGCTCAATACACGTCTGTAGCTGATATGGTTTGATAGTGGACTATTTGAGTTGAATAAGACTGACTTCCCCCAAACCTTTAGCTCTAGGCCACTCGCCAGGCCCCAACTTCCGACTGTTGGACATTTTTGGCTCAATGTCCCACTGGTATACCAACTCACCATGTCCAAAAGTGAGTTCAGCAGCCTTGCCCCAGACCAGCTTCCTCCTCCAGCCCCCGGCCCCGTCAAGGTGACTTCTCTCACCCAGGCACAGAGGCCTAAGTGCTGGAGTCATCCTCTTTCTTCTCCCCCACCCCCAAACATCAGCTGGTCACCATGGCCTGTCAATATTTCCTTGGAAACACCTTGTCCATCCTCTCTTCCTTTCCATTCACACTGCCACTGCCACTGGCCTGGTCTGGCCCTCCAGGCTTCCCTGTAGGCCTGCATGGCTGGGACAGCCTCCTAACTGGCCAGCCTCCTCCAGCCTCTGCTCCCTTCCATCCAGCGGCCCCACTCCTCACCTTCCCAAACACTGTCCTTACCAAGTCACCCCTGCTCAAGAATGGGTCATGGCTCCCTATTTTATATTGTGTTAAATATAGACAACTTTGCCAGCTCTCCAGGACCTACCCCACTGACCCTACCCACCCAACTGCAGGCTCCAGAGAGCTGGGATTTACAAACAGGCATGCTTATGCCCCTGCTTGTTCCCTTTTTCTAGATTCAGTACCCATCACCCCTCCCACTTCCCTGCCACCACAACCACCAATCTAGGCCTCGTTGCTTCCCGAGATGGTGGTGCGATTCATTGGAGGACTAAATGAGATGATGCCTTTAAAACGCACAGCACAGTGTCTGGCCCGTAGCAAGACCTCAGCAAATACTAGTTATTGTTGTTATTGCTAATAGTATCCCAGATAGCCAACAATACTTGTAATTGTCTAGAAGTAAGGGAGATGGGGTCCTAAGAAGACATAAGGAATCAGATACAAGAGGAGAAGAGGACATGGGAGTCGGAGGGAGAGACGGAGTCAGGGTCACAGGAGGGTGGAGAAGGCAGGCTGGCTGCTACTCACAGTGCTGTAGTTGCTGAAGAGGCCCAGGGTGGGGGCAGGTTCCAGTGGGAAGGGCAGGATCTGCTTGAGGTCCAGCGGTGGCTGCATGATGGGGGGCTGCCGTAGCAGAGGGAGGGGCCCTGCCCGGCTCAGGCTGCCTGAAGGACAGAGAAAACATTATGTGGCACAGAAAGATGGAAGCTCGGGAGCCCCATCCAGCCCTGTCAGTCCCACTCCCCAGCTGGGCCCCCCACACTTGGTAGTGTGACCCCCATGCACACACACTTCCCCTGCTTGCTGGCTCCGGAGCAATGGAGCAAGGGGCCCTGTGGGCCTGGGGGAGGGTGCAGACCAGTCCTTCCCTTCTGGGTGGTTTTCACTTCCCCCTTTTCCAGCCTCCCTCCCCCTAGACCTTTAGGCATTTTACAGACCCAGGAAGAGCACAGACATTCTCTATAGGCTGCTGGCTGGAGCCCTGGCCACTCCCTTCTTTCTGGTTTTGCTTTCCCCTAGGGAATCCCAAAAGCTAGGTCTCACCCCAGAGAAAATAGTCAGGTGGGTGATTCATCCCACTGCCCAGAGGAGAATATTGAGGCCTAGATTTGGAGGAGGGCTACTGAATCTTTCAGGCTCCCCAAACAGTTATGATTTTGTCCCAATCACAACTCTTAATTAACTGTCGACATTTGGTGGCGGTAGGGGGTAGGTAGTAGGTAAGCCGCATTTGCTCTGGGAGGTAGACGGCCTGGGGCCATCCTCAGAGCCCCTTCTCCCAACCTTTCTGGATCCCCAGGCCCCTCTGGTGCACCGGGAGTGTGTGGCTCCAGCTCTGCAGGGGGAACCGTGCTGGCCTCTGGGAGGGGAATGCCTAGGTCTGACCCCAAGGGGAAATGAAAATTCAGGCTAGCCACTCCACTACCCTCCTCTGAAACCTTTTTTTCCTCCCCCAAGAAGCATGGGAGGAGCCCTGCCAGGTTCTAAACAGGTGGAGTGGCCGGGTGGCCCAAAGGCCCTCAGGACCCCTCTGGGCTTCCACTGGCCCAGCTCCCTTCAGCGACCTCGCTGTCCACCAGTCAGGGAACTCTGGCTGCCCTTCACTGCTCTAGCAACCCCCCCGCCAGCAACAGCAGTTCCCAGGAACAAAGGCAAACCCAAGAGGCTGCAAGCTTGGCCCCGTCCTCCCTTGACCTTACTGGGCAGAGGGTCCTCCTGGATCCTTTCCTGCTTCCTCCATAGAGACTGCCCCTTTTCATACCTTCAGTTTCTGGTGCCCGCTGCCCGCAGGCAGTGGCCTGGCCCTGGCCCCCGAGGGGCCTGGGCCTGACAGCTCCCCTTCCCTTGGTTCTGCCCCCTGCCCCCTCCCTTACCAGCCCCCTCCCCCCCAGTCCAGTCAGTAGTATCAGCCAATCAGAGTCCTGGAAAAGTGGGGCAGAGGGGAGGGCGGGGGAGCAGGGATTAGGGGAATCGGAGGAGAGAAGGAGGGGGTGGGGAGGGCTCAGGCACAGCTGGGGGCAGGGAGCTGGTCCAGAAAGGTCTGGAGGGGTCTGTCTCTTCCACCCAGTGCTAGGACTAGGTGGCCAGGGTGCCTGAGGCAGAGAGGGGTCAGGGCTGCTGGGAGCTCAGGCTCCAGACATCTAAGGGTGAAGGAGAGGGCAAGATGCTTGGCTTTGGCCTTTGGGCAGCTGGGGGTCTGTACGCCCTGTGTCCATTCCCTCCTCTGCCACCTCAGGGTTGGGATGGGGTAGGGGAAGAGGAGCAAGCGAGTGAGTGAGAGAGACAGACAGACAAAGGTGAGTGAGAAAATGGGAAAGACTGACAGAAGCAGGAATAGGCAACTGAAAAAGGGACATAGACACTGAGAGAGAGGATAGAGAACAATGGAGAGATGGAAGAGAGTGAAATGAGAGAGAAAAACAGAGACACTGCAGGAAAGCTGGACACACACAGAGCTAGAGACTACGGTAGAAAGATCAAAGGACAGAGAAGAGAGAGAGCAAGACAGGGAGACAGAAGAGAGGGACAGACGGACTGATGGGACAGTCCGACCATCTCCCCTTCCTGGTCTGTCCCCTCATGGCTTCTCCCCTCTGTGCTCCGCCCCGCTCCTGCCTGGCACACAAGACCAGGGCAGCCTTAACGAGCCCTGGGCTGCGGCCTCAGGAATGGTGAGAGAAACCTGAGCGCTCCCAGAGTCCCCGGCACCCAGCACCCACTCCTAGCAGCTGGTTTGGGGCTGGCACTTGCCCTGCCCTAGAGCACCAGAGACAGCAGCTCAGTTCCTTGACTCTCTCCCCGGCTCTAGACCCTCTAGGCCTCCAGGCCTCAACCACCCATCTCAGAGGAGAGAAAAGGCAACAAAAAAAAAAGGGTATGGAGGAGCCACTATGTGCCAGGTAATGAATTCTAAGTGTTACCACATTTAATCTCTGAGGTAGCTATGATTCTATGGGGCAGCTGATACTATTTTTTCCATCTGACATATGAGGAAACTGAGGCTCAGGGCAGTTAAAAAACTTGGCTGATGCCACACAGCCAGTAAGTATCAGAGGTGGGATTTAAATCAAGATCCAGGGGCCTGCCCCGTGGCTGAGCGGTTAAGTTTGTACGCTCCGCTTCGGCGGCCCGGGGTTTCGCCGGTTGGGATCCTGGGTGCAGACATGGCACCGCTCATCAGGCCACGCTGAGGCGGCGTCCCACATGCCACAGCTAGAATGACCCACAACTAAAATACACAACCATGTACTGAGGGGCTTTGGGGAGAAAAAGGAAAAATAAAATCTTTAAATCAAAATCGTTCACACTCTGTCGCGAATCCTTTCTCTGCTACATAACCCCAAAGGGCTCAAGCAGAGATCTCAGCACAGGCTTCCAACTTGTTCAAGGAGAGGAAGGGGAGAGCAAGTTCCATGTACTTCCAGGGGCTGGAGGAAAACAGGTAGCAGCCACTCCGTTGCCTGTGGCCAGCAACTCATCTTTCCCCCGCGACATGAGCCCTGGTGGGGGGGCGCAGGGAGGGAAGGGACGCCGGAGAAGGAGTGAAATGAGGAGAGAGTGAGGGCAAGGCAGCAGGGTGGGCTACGGGAGGTTCATTTGTCTCCTTCTGGGCTCCGAAGTGGGGACAGGGGCAGGGGGCAGCTTATGGGCTGAGTGGACAGAAGCAGGGCTCCTGGTTTCAGGTGGCCCCAGCCTCAGTCCCTTTCCCCCTTTTCTGAGAATAATGATAGCTGTCACTTTTTTTTTTTTTTGAGGAAGATTAGCCCTGAGCTAACTACTGCCAGTCCTCCTCTTTTTGCTGAGGAAGCCTGGCCCTGAGCTAACATCTGTGCCCATCTCCCTCTACTTTATATGTGGGATGCCTACCACAGCATGGTGTGCCAAGCGGTGCCATGTCTGCACCTGGGATCCAAACCGGCGAACCCCCCGCCGCTGAGAAGCGGAACGTGCGAACTTAACCGCTGCACCACCGGGCTGGCCCCAGGTGTCACTTTTTGAGGCCTTACTATATGCCAGGCCCTTTAGGTACACAGTCTCCCTGCTGATGGTTCCACTGCTCACGAGCTGGGTGACAAGCCAGTTTCTCAGACTCTCTCAGTCTCATTTCTCATTTGTCAATTGAGAACAACAGTACCTGCCTCATGGAGTTGTTGAGAGGATGGAACGAATCCATGCAAAGTGCTGGCGTGCCACGAAGGGAGCTCAATACATGTTCGCTAAATAAATGAATCCTCATCTTATAGAGGACAGCAGTCTGCTCAGAGTGGGGTTGTTACCTGACCAAGGTCACACAGCTGCTGAGGGATTTGAATCTGTCTATCCAGCTCCAGAGACAGGCTTGCAAAGCACTATACTCTTCTGGGTTGACTAGAGGTAGGAGGGGGAAAGGCAGGAATATACTTAAGGGCCAGGGAAGCAGGAAATGAGGGATGAAATCCAGGGCTTCTGACGTCTGGCAGGTGACGGCTTCAGGGGGTTTTGGAGGAGGGGGTGGAGAGCAAACTGGAGTGCGTATGTGTGTTTGCATATGTGTGCGTGCACATGGCACACATGTCAGACAGGGCAGGGAGGAGCTGGGGCCTGGCTAGGGCAGGCCACTCCAGAGGGAAGCTCATTAGAGTAATTACCTCCAGCAGATAGAGCCCCACCCAGCTCTGTGGGGAACTGCTAAACGCTGTGTTACAGACAGTTCCCAGTGTACTTTGGAGGGGGCGAACTCTCAGACCCTTGGGTGGCTGTCCATCTGGCCATTTCTGCACCCTACCTAGCCCTGGACATTTGGATCCTGCTCGGGTTTCCTCTCCAGCACCAGGCCACAACCAAGCCACATCTGACTCCTTCCATCCCATTGAGGTCTGGTCCTTTCCTTCCTCTCTTCCCCAGAAATTCTGGGCAGGTCAGAAGTCCCAGCCCCTTGGCTATTTTGGGTTGGGTCTGGGGCCTGAAGCCCTTGTGGTAAAGAATGGGCGTGTCGGCCGTGAGCTGGCTCAGGGAGTAGCCTTGTCAGGGTAGGGACAGGAGCCAGGAAAGGTCTTAGGGTAGGGCTGTGGGTTAGCGTTGGTCTGGAGATTGGGCTAGCGTGAGATTCAGATCAAAGAGAGTTATCGGGGTTAGAGTTGCAAATAGTGTTCTCGCCCAAGATGGTGAAAAGCACAGGCTCAGCACTGGGTGAAAATGGGAATTAGACTCTGGGTTCAAGGGAGAATTGGATTGGAGTCTGGACTGGAATCTAATCTGTCTCTTTTCCTCTTCAGGCCTTTTGCCCTCTTCTCCCTCCCCAGAAATGCCTAAAATTGGGGGTTGAGGGGAGAACCTTGAACCCCTGGGTCTCGTCTTCTTGACCAAGTCCCATGTATCTGTCGCCTTCTGCCTCAATTTTCCCCCACCTTGGCAGGAGGCAGGCTGGAAAGGCTTTGAAGTCAAAGATGAAAGCAACAAGGGGATGATTATGAACAGCTACTCAAAACATCATCCCTATTAACCCCAGGGTGGATGTGTGTGGGGGCATGGCCTATAGGGAGGAGGCGGACAGGAAGGGAAGAAAGGGAAGGCCCCCTGGGAAATCTTTCCAACCTGACTGAAAGGGAAAGGGCCTCCTCATGCCCCTTCCCCTCCCCGCCAACTGCTCCCAGCCGCACAAACCAGGGCCCAGTTGGAGAGGATGGTAAGAAAGGCCCGGAAAAGGGAACCTGAGCCCAGACCACCACCTTAAGCCTGGGCACACAGTCTAGATCTTGAGCAGGAAGACTGGGCATTCCCTGCTGGGCAGGGGCCCCATGCACATGGACTCAGCATGCCGCACGCACCTGCAAACCTTAGCACAGGCCCTGAGGGTGAGTGCTGAGCCCAGGCTAGCAGTTTCCTCCCTCTCTCCTTCTTTCCTCAAAGAGGGCTAAGGTGTGTGGGCCTCTAGGCTTCCTACCCCTCTGGGGGCTGGGCACCAGGAGGGAGTTAATTACAGTGTCCTCTAGGGAGATGTGGTGGGGGTCCAACTGGTAGATCCAGGCATTTTTCCTATGGTGGGGTCTTGGTCAGGCTTGAGCAGGTCCCTGAGGTCCTCTTTAGGACCTATTGACCAGGAGAAGTAAGTGTGGCTCACAATGGCCTGTTCTGGAGGAGCATGATGCTGTCTCTGGGGCCTGTGCCCAGGGTGGGGCCCGTGCCCAGGGTGGGGCCAGCGTGCAGGGACTGCACAGGTTGGAGGAATGTGGAGCCTGTGCTCTGGGGACCTGCGTCCAGGGTGTGTTGGTGAGGGTCATTCAGGGTAGGGAGTCTTCACAGTGGGTGGGGAGTCTCTTCCCTGCTAGGGATACTCTTGGGAACGAGGCAGGCCTCTTTTCCCTCATTTGTTTAATAGATCCGTGGAGTGCCAGGTGGAGGGAGCAGACAGAGTAGTGAGAAAGTGAGGGGACATCGGAGGGGAGAGAAAGAGATGGAAGAAGGAGGGCAGAGGGATGGAAAGACGAGGAAAGTCAACAGGGGTCAAATGAAAGAAGAAAAGCAAAAGAGCCAAGGAGGCAAACAGCCCAGGGCTGAGGCGAGGGCTGAGGCGGGAGCCACGCAAGCCCTCAGGCGCCAGCATGGAGCCAGGTGTCCCCAGTGGGGGGCGGGGAGACCACAGGTGTCTCAGCCTGGTGGGGGTCTCCCACCATAAACAGGGCCTGGGAACCGGCCTAGCCAGGGTAGAGGTCAGAGGTCGGAGGACAGAGCTGGCCTGCGACTGTTTTGGAGGCAGGGGCCGGAGCCGAGCAGATGAGGAGTCCAGCGCGCAGCTAGTCCCTGTCCTCCCCCACCCGGGGCTCCCTTCCGATGTAGGTCATGAGGATGGGGTGGCTGTGGCTGAAGGGCTGTCAGAGCCCCGCGAGGCTTCCCCTCCCCCATCCTTACTGTCCCGGTTGCCCCTTCCTCTCCTGGTGCCCCCGGCCCAAGGCAGGGGTGGGGGTGGGGATGAGGGAAGAAGGAAGAAGAAGGAAGCCGGGAAGGGCCCAGGCAGCCAGAGCAGGGAGAGAGAGGGGCAGGTCCCGGCGTGTTGGGGCAGGATGGCTGCGGAGACAGGATCCAAGCCGCAGGGGCCCTGGGATGGACAGTTTCCCACCCCTTCTTCTCCCCAGCCCCCTTATCTCCGGCCCTCAGGTTCCTACCTCCCACCACACACACCTCGAAGCTCCACTCCCCATCTTCTCCCCCCGCCCGCCCCCCACTTCCTCCTTTCCCTCTTATCCTGGGCCCAGAAGGATGTCGGAGAGTCTGAGCTAAGGGTGGGGGAAGGCGCTGGGGCGGGGGGTCAGAACCTTTCCCTCAACTCTACCGGGCCAGGACCAGCCCCCTCCCCCTGCCTCTCTCAGACTGTCATATAATATTCATGAGCCTCATGAATACGCAATGTTCTCCTTATGGGTCTGGGGTCCCACTCGGCACTGCCTCCCCCTTTACTCCATAGATTACAGGGAGAAGCGGCAGCCTGGGGAAGAGGGGAAGCAGGGACCCCAGATGTGGAGCCAGAAGAAGGGGGAGGGGGAACCGGTCGCTCACGGGCGGCCGCAGTCACCGCGGTGCCGGGAGGTTGGGGAGGTGACCTACTGAGAGGGACCCAGGAGCCTGGAGCTAGGAGCCGCAGGGCCCACTCACCGAGGATCATGCTGGGGACCCAGGCGCCCGGGGTTCCGCGTCGCTCTGTCCCGGGGGCCGTTCTGGCCGGGCTGGGGGTGCGGGGGGAGGAGTCGGGGGAGGAGCAGAGGCCGGCCGAGGCGGAGCGGGGGCGGAGCCCGCAGCAGGTGAAGCCGGGAGGAGGGGGTCCCGGGCGCCCAGGGCTCCAGGAGGGGGCGGCCTGGCGGCTCCTCGCCCCCTCCCGCTTTCTCTTCTACTTGTTGCCCCTGGGTCGCCTGGATTTACGGAGTCACTGCAGCCAGGGCTGGGAGAACAAGACATCTAGAAGACGGTGTGAGGTGTTAGAGGAAGCTGGAAATTAAAATGCCTGGGTTCCGGAGAAGGGCTGAGTCTGAGGGTGGAAAGGTCTGGTCATGGGCCCACATAGGGTGGGGGATGTCTGAGTACTCTGGGGAGGATGGGGCCTGGCTTGAGAGGGACACCTGGGTCCTCTCTAGAGTGATGGGCTGGGCTTGGGGGTGGGGGTGAGGTGGGGGTAGAGAATGTTTAGGGCCTAGTTGTTTCTCTGATTTTGGAGCAGGATGCCTGGGGGCTGGGCCTGAGAGATGAAACGTGGGTTTGAAGATGGATCCCAAGTTGATCTCTGGCTGGGGTCCAAATGCCCAGGTCCTTAGGGAAGGTCTGAGTGAAGAGATTGCAATCAATGGACCCAAAGAGGTGGGAATACAAGCTTGCAACTGAGATCAGTATGGCGAGCAGAAGATGACAGAAGATCCAGAACTGAGGCTCACCCTTGCAGAGATGGCCTGGATTAGGGTGGGGAAGGGAGCGTCTATCCAGGGCCTGAACCCACGGCATTCCCCACTAAGGTGAGCTTGGATTGAAGAGGATTGGTGGGGGTGTTTGGTGAGGTGGAGGGGAGGATGGAGGATGGGACAGAATATACGGGCTGAGGAGAATGTCAGGGGGTGTGGGGTGTGGGACATATTCTAAGGACCAACCGGGGGCTTGGCTGGAGGTGGGCAACTGGGACCCCAGAATGAGGCTGGCGTCTCTGAGTCTGTGAGGTGTCTGGGGAAGGTGCAGCTGCTGCGGCCTGGACCTGTCTGTACCTGCCCCAAGAGGGAGGGCGGCAGAAAGACTTCCCAGAATGCCAAGCAGCCAGCTTCAGGCCAACCCCAGCCAGAGGGGAAGGAGGTATGACTGGGAACTAGAGCACTTGGGATTTAGGGAGGGTGGAGGCAGGGAGGAAGAGGTGAGTGGAAGGGTGGCTGGACTAGAGCCGAGAAACAGTTTAGGAAGGGGACTGGGGACTGGCATTCCTGGCTTCTGCAGGGAAGTTGGGACTAGATGGCTAACTAAGCTACAGGAAATTCAAGTTCCTGTTTCTGGACCTCAACAGTCTCTTGCCCTCACCCCACTGATTTGGGTTGAAGAAAAGATCTGTTTTTGCACCTGTCAAGATGCTCCAGCTCAAGGGCAAGAGAATGCTGGGGGTGCCAAAGCCTTGGTCTTGTTCTGATCTAGAGGCCCAGAGAACTCAGGGGACTGTGGCCTTGATGCTCAAGTCTGGCCTTGGGGAAGAAGGTGAGGTCTCTGAGCCCATCAGAGGACATCTTCTTGTTCCAGATCTGACCTATCACTACACCATTCAACCCTAGTACCACAAAACCTGCTTCTCCCCAGACTCTGTTTCCACCCCCCCACATACACTCCTCCTTGCCTCTGCCCATTCTTTCTCCTTCTGGGTGGACTCCGAGAACAAACAGGAGTCAGCATCAGGAGTGGCTGATCAGTTAGAGACCCCTTTGTCTTCAGCCTTGTCCACTCTCCCACACTGCCCTCAGAGGCTCTGAGTTAGGGAGGTCTCAGAAGAGGGGTTGCTTAGCCTACCAAGGGGAGGCAGCTGGCTGGAGGGCGGGGTGACCTTGCAGGCAGCTGGGCTGGGGCAGTGTGCGGGGCGAATTCATTATTGATGAGCCCTGCACCCTAGGCTACTAATGAGCCCAGGCCGGCTGCTCTAATTGATGTCAAGAAATTTGAGACCCCCAGATCAGCTTCCCGCCTGCCAGCTGCCTCTCCTGAGCCCCCTCCTCCTCCCTGCACCCCCAGCTGCTCTGCTCCCTTCCCAGGGCCTCCTATTCCTCTCCACCGACACAGACAAGGAGAAGGCTCAGGCCTTCTAGCCCCCATCCTCCTGTCCCTCTGGATGATCCAAGTCTCAAGATGGGAGGTGGCAGACTCGCTCTGGAGGCGGGGGAGATTTGGGAGGGCAAACAGACCAGAGCCTGAGAATTATGGCTCAGGGACAGAGAGCCTGGTGCTAGATTACCTCTGCGGCATTTCTGAACCCAAGGAATTCCTTTCTTATATTGTGCATCCTTGGGAGAGACCTTGTCACACTTGAGACTCAGAGGGACAGGCACTACACAGACACACCCATAACACCAGCCAATGTGCACAGCCCACTTCCCCTCCTTGTTTCCTCCTCACAATAGTGTAAGAAATCTCAGACCTGACCCCTGGAGTTTGACAGATGCCACTCTCGCCCCTCCCCCAATTCTCCCTGGAGAATTCCCAGTGCCTTGTTAGGCCACGGCTGCCAGCCTTGGAAATACTGGGTGGCTCACTGCCTCCTCAGGGCTCGTCCTCCCCATTGTCCCTCGTCATTTATGGGTTCTGGACAGAAGTTCCTGAGGTACAGAATTATCAAGAAGTCACAGACTGGAGTGCAGAGCAGGCTTGGTCTCCCAGGAGAGATATTTTGAGGTGATGCAGGTACTGCTAGGCAGGAGCCAAAGTTAATAAGAATAGCCCTGGTGATGGAGAAGGGTGAAGCGGAACTCATACCCTCCCTTCCCAAAATTCCCATAAATTTGTGGCTATGCTGCCCTCTGGTGGCTGAATTCTGGTCTAGCATGACATGGACTCTGCCTCCAACAAACCCATTAGAATTTCAGCCCTTGTCTGCTTCCTCTTGGGGTACATTAGGACAGGCCTTGAGGAGACAGAGGACCTTGAGGGGCCCCCTTACTTTGATTTCTATTCAAAGATATGAACCCCATGGCATGTGGGTTAAGCAAGACATGGGCTTTCACAGTCAGACTAGGGTGAATGTGACTCTGCTAAGGCACTCACGGAGTGACCTCGGGCAAGTTACATAACCTCTCTGGACCTCAATTTCCCCTTGCGTAAATGGGGCTAACTCTGTACCTACCACACAGGATTATTGGTAGAAATTAACTGAGATAAGGTGTGTAAAATATTTAACACCCCTTCTACCCACCAGCATACAATATACAATAAAAACAAAACAAAACAAAAACCTAACTGGCTTCCTTCTGACTTAGTTCTGTGGCCTTCTGCTCAACCCATTTCCTTATTCTGATTTAGGGGAGCCCCGAGGAGTCTTCTGGACCATCTTCCCCCACCTTCAACCTGAACATTCCCCTGTGTCTTCCTCCCTAGTCCTCAAACCCAAAGAGAAGAGATTCCTGCCCTTCTCTCCTGGAGGTGAGACCAGATCTGTGGGGCTGGGGGATGACAGGAGTCAAGCCCTCCTTTCTCCCCTCCCATCATCTCTTCCACCTAGGAGAAGGGAACCCAAAAACTAGTTCCACAGTTCCTGGGGGGTCACACTTCTGGCTCCCAGCGGAAAGAAGCTGCGAGAAACACAGGCATTTCCTACCCACCAAGCTGTCTGGTTCCAGGGTGGGTTTGGAAAGAGTGAGGTAGCACACAGATTCCAGCTCTGGTCAGTGGGGGCACCGGGCCGGGTTTTATTGCACTTGCAACAGAGTTTAAATAAGTCCCGGGGGTCCGGAGCCGAGGGGAGGGGAGGGGAGGGTTGGGCAGGAAGAGGAGGGGCAGCATCAGTGCAGCTGGTAGGCAGAGCCCAAATCCTGCAGGCCCAGGAGGTGGGCTCCCCTTTCTCTGGGGGACTGGGAGGGCCTGCATCTGGCTAGGCTGAGGTTCCAGATCTGTTGCCATCATGGCCCCTTCATGGTCCTGGGCAATTCTTGACTTCTCCCGAGTCAGAGGTGGATTGGGCCTCCAGGCCCAGGTCTGGAGCAGGCTCAAATGTAGTCCTGGATCTGCCCGGTTAGGTTACTAACGTCTGAGTCTGGGTCCCAGATCAACCCCAGGCCCCAGGTTCGATCCGGCCCCATTACAGTTCTGATTCCCCTTGGAGCTGGTTCTGGGCCAGCGCTGATCTTTGTGTGGGATCTGTCCTGAGCTGGGCCTGGGGCACCATCCACGGTTAGTGTTTCTTGTTGGCCCTCCAGGGTGGGGGCTGTCCAGAGCTGCCAGGTCTTACTCCCCAGGTTCCAGGTTCTTAGCTGGGGGCTTCTTGTGGATCTCCGGCAAGGCTGGGGACAGATTTTTGCAGGCTGGAGCTGGACAGGAAGTCCAGAGAACGTCTGGCCCAGAGAACTGGGACTGGACTCCCCAGTTCTGGTTCCAAGTTGTTTTCAGGAAACTCTCTCCAAAATGCAAAGGCTGCAGGGAGGCTGGGGCCTCTGTCCCTGGATCTGGGTTCCCCCATCCATGAGGAGGTCATGTGTAAACAAGGGTCCTTCACAGTGCATGGGGGGAGGAGATCCCCAGCTCCTCACCTCCCGGCTCTGGCCCTTCAAGTATGTCTCTGGGCTGGGGAGAGGAGCTTCTCCCTGGCCCTCAGCACCTTCAGAAAGCGCCCAGCCCCTCCCTGTCAGTAGACTGAAGGTGGGGGGACAGGGCCTTCAGGATTGGGAGTTTGGGATCGGGAGGAGTCAGGCATCAGAGGTGGCTGGAGGCTTGAGCTGAGCTTTTTCCATGGCGGTGCCGTATGGGAGGGAGCGTTTGAAGAATCCGAGCTAAAGGGGGGAGAAGGAGGGAGAGTTGAGACACTCTGGCTCCCATTTCTCCCCAGACCTTATCCCAAGAGGGAATGAAGAGGATCCTAGTGCTTCCAATCGCCCCATCTTGCAAAAGTGGCCTAAATTCAGGCTGTTAAGACTACCTCTCCAAGAGGTCCAGTGGGCCAGGAGGACTAAAGCTGGGGGTGCTTTGGTATAAGGGGGCCTTTCATTAGTGCCATCAAAATGCCCCAGTTAAGCCAGGGATGGCACATAGGTTTGAACTCAAGTTCCAACTCTGATTGCCTAGTAGTGGCTGCCTCTTGAGAAGAATTCTGAGGCCACTTCTACAGTTAGTGATGGCTGCCGGTTTTTGGAGGAAATGACAGCACAAATGCCACATATTTGCCACCTGTGAGTAACATTAATTTTGCAAGTATAGGCAAACTTATTAGCTTGCCTCAAGAGACTCTTTCTAAGCTAGAGGCTGTAGAATGAAGGGAAAGATCCTATAGGTAGGGTCAGAATGGGATGCATGTGGCCAGGGCAGAGGTGGGGGCATGTGGCTAGAGAATTGGTCTGGAGGTAGATGCTTGGGACTGTGCTGGGTCAAGGGCAGAACCTGATGAGAGGGTGAGCAAGTCACGGTTAGGATGTGGCTGACCTTGTAGAGGATGTAGATGAGCAGACCTAGGAGCAAGAGGCCAATGAGGATGGCTAGGATAATGATCCACAGTGGGACGCCATGGCTGCCTTCTGCCTTGGTCCACTGCACGGCTGTGGCCACCTAGGGAGCAAGTCAGGAGAGGTCACTGAAAAGCCATTAGTTCTTCCCAAACTACACTTGGCCCCAACTTTCCATCAGACCTAGACCCACCTCTCACTTCCCATCTTGGGCTAACAGAATTCTGAACTTCAAAATTTAGATTCCTAAAATGTGCATCATTGTCTTGACTTTGGGCCTTCACAACTGCCAATTCCCTCTCCCCAGAGAATATTCCTTTCCTGACTGGTTAGCCTGGTAGTTCCTATTTATTCTTCAGGTCTCGGCTTAAACATCACTGCTTCCAGGAAGCCCTTCCTGACTCTGCAAGACTGTGTTCAAGTGTCCCTATGATGTGTTCCTGTAAACATCCTGGCACTTGTCGCACTGTGTTCCCATTGCCCACTCGACGTGAACTCCAGGCATGAAGGTACCCTGTCCATCTTGTTTATCATCATATCCCCAGGACCTAGCACAGTGCCTGGCACATAGTAGATGCTCAAAAAATATTTGTTACAATAACAAGGCCAGCCTCCCCCGTGCTCAGCTGTGTCCCAGCCCTAGCGCCAGGCCAGCCCTCTGAGCCCTGGACTCACCTGAAGTTCCTTCCGGGGAAGCTGCCGAGGCAGGATTCGGTAGGGCATCTTCAGGGCTTCGTACACGGCTTCACACTGCAGGCTAAATGGCTGGTGCTCTCGCTGTGGGTGGGGGAAAGGTGTTCAGGGCAGCCCCTCTTGGGACCTAGGGGACACAGGGCTCCCCACGGTCTGGCTCAGGTTATAATCTTTCCCTTTTTCAGACTCATTCTCTCCTGAATCTCTGTGTTCCTTATGTGAGATAATAAATGTGTAATTGAATAGTTACAACTAAATAATGTATAATTAGATGACTGTATGTTCAATAAAACATTTTTTTTTGAATCATTAATGTGGGTTGGTTGGGCACCCAGGACAGTGCCTGGCCCATGATATGTGGTCAATAAATGACTGCTCTTTACTATTCCTCCGTCTGCTTGCCTCTCCGCTACGCATTCATCTTCCATCTCTGTTTTTCTATCATCCTCTGCACGCTGGTATGCAGTTTTCCCTCCTCCGAACGGGCCAGGAAAGAGAAGCGGTCACCCCCAGCCTGGCCACTAGGTGGCGCCAAGGACACACAGAGCTGCCTGAACAACGGCGAGGAGGGGAGCAGGAGGGCCTGGGTCCCACTTGCCCAGGAAGGTGGCTGGGGCAGTGGGGAAAGGGAGGGACGGCCCAGGCAGGCCAGAAGGTGGGGGGTAGGGGCCGAGGTAAAGCTCCTCACCTGCAGGAAGGTCTTGGCCCAGACGCGGAAATGCAGTTGCAGACTCAGGCTCTCCTGCCGGTGGAGGGGCCCGAGCTCACAGCGCAGCCGGAAACACTCCGCCTCCGGGCATTTCTGGGAAGAAAGAGGAGGCCTGAACCCGGAATTCTGCCCTTCTGGTGGCTCTGAGAACCCAAACGGGTCCTCAACGGTTGGGCCCAGCCCTCATTCCCAGGAGGGCTTACCAGGATCTGAGGCCCTGAGGAGGCAGGGCTGCGGCCTGGAGCTTCCCGTCTTTGTAGTTGGTGGCTCTGGGAACCCTCGGGATCCAACTGGAAGAGGAAAGAGACCGTTAGCTGCCTCTCCCACCTCGTTGCAGCGTCTAAGCTGGCCAGCACCTGGCTCCAGAGCAGCTTCAACCTGATGTTTTTATCCATCCAGCTGACCACCTCCTATGGCAAAGCGCCAGGCTCAGTGTTGAAAGACAGAAACAAACAAGAGTTGGTCCTTGGAGTTTATTAGGAGGAGATGTGTAAATAAATAATGAGGTCCTTGCCTTTTAGGGCCTTTGCACCGGCTGTTCCCTCTGCTTGGAATGCTCTTCCCCGAGTCTTCACAAGCAGGTTCATTCTTGTCTGTCAGGCCTCAGTTCAACTCAGTTCAGCTCCTCAAGAGCTGTTCCCTGAGAACTCAGTCTCCAGTCCCGGCCCTGCCCCCGGCATGTTAGCACTGTCGTCACTTTTCCACACTTGCTAATCTCCCTCTCTTTTTAATTTTTATCATCTATTACCCACCACTAAAACGGAAGCTCCACGAGAGTGGGACCTTGCTAGTTTTGTTTGGTGCAATATTTCCTGAGCCTATAACAGTATTCAGTGCAGATGCTCACTTAATTAAATGTTAATAAGTAAACGAATTTTAAAACAGGCATTGGGGCCCAGGGGAAGAGGTCTGAAGAAGACTTCCCAGAGGACGTGGCGCTGAGCGGGGCCCTAGGAGTCTGCTAGGGCAAGAAGTAAGAGTCTTCTTCCCTCCCAGGGCCTCGAGGTGTCTGTGGGCCTTCTGACCCCCTTCCAGTGGCCTAAGTCCCATCTTCAGGCACATGCTCATTGGCTCTTCCAGGCCCCCAGCAGCCTTCTCCAACCTCTCAGGCTTGGTTCCCCCCACCCCGGGTCAGTCTCCAGGCCCCTCACCTCCAGGCCTTGTGGGTTGGGGGGGTGACTGGTGGTGCAGTTGCTGAGTCCTGTAATCCTGGTCACGTAGAGGAGCTGCTGACCTTCCAGAGCCTGGGGACAGCTGAGCTCCAGCACGCCCCGGCTAATGGAGCTGGGGCCCAGGTTGATGAGCTGAGGAGGGAAGAGCACAATCAAAATGAGAAGGAAGAGAATGATTCTGCCCTGCGAGACCCTGGGTCATTGTGGCCCACACACCCTGCTGGGAGTCGCCTACCTCAGGAGTGAAGGACTCAATTGGCAGAGGTGAAATCCTTTCCAGCCAACGCTCTAGGAGGCAGCTCCAGCCTTCCTTTCCAAGTCACTCAACTGACCTGTCTCTCGTCTGGCCGTCCCTCACACTGACCCTGCCGGCCTTTACCTGTCACTCCCCACTCCTCCTCGCTTCCTCTCAGGCCCTTCCTCTGGTCCCAGCCATCTGTCACTCACACTCACTCCTCCTTCTCTGTCACTCATTCTGGCCCTGCTTGTCCACTCCCCTCACCTGCCAGGACGGCCCTCCCTGCCTCTATCCTTCCTCACCTCATAAACATGGTGGACAGCAGGGCCCACATCCGCCTCCTCCTGAGGCTGGTCTCGCGGGTGCCAGTCGCTCACCGGGAATAGCACTGCCTCAGGCTTGGAGACACTGAGGAGGAGGGGGGTTTAGAGGACAGTGGGACCCCAGGACCCCGTATGCATCCTTTGCTTAAGTCCGTCTCCCCTCCCAGAAAGGCCCCATTTTGCCCAGGCACTGACCCGTTAAGGGAGACCTGGGCCTGAGCCTCTACTGAGAGCCGGAAGGACACCACGTCGCTTTGCGAGTTGTTGAGATTCTTGCTGTGGGATGGAGGAGAGACTGAGGCCGTGCTGGAGCCGGCGAGCATTCCCCAGCGTCAGGCCCCGCCCCCACCTCCGCCGCAGCCTGGGCCCACCCACTCCCTACCTGAGGATCTGGAAGTCGAACTGGATGGTTTTCTTCGTGTCCCGGAGATGAGGGACTGTGAACCGAAGGCCACCCCAGAGCTGTGGAACAGGGAGGGAGGACGGGGGGCTGTTGGATTGGGCATCTGCCTCACGCCACTTCCAGCCCTCCTTCCCTCTCCCCCAGCTCCGCTCTGGCCGGCTGGCCATTGTCCTCTCAGCCCTCTCTCCCACCCAGACTTACACTGGCGCCTGCCTTCATGGGGTTGCCCAGGTCACACACCAGCAGGCGGCTCTGGTTCACAGCAAAGTAGTCACAGCTCAGGCTGGAGAAGTTCTGCAGGTGGGTGGGTGCAGGTAAGGTTTTGGTGGGTCCTCGGCAGGGTCTCCTCCCAAGCCCCGCCTGGGAATCCCCTCTTACCCCTGGGTGTCTGACGAGTCCTGAGTACTCAGCTTCTGGAGGGGCCGTGACACGTAGCTCTGCCTCGTAGGCACCACCCTCACCCACATTCTGGGCGTGGAAAGTTAGGTTCAGAGAGTTCTTGTCTCCCAGGTACACGTGGTTCTGCTCCCTGGAGGGGGCACACAGGGTAAGGGACAGTGGGGAATTAATCCCCAAACCAGGACAATGGGCCATAATAATGATAATCATATAATAATAATAGACACCATTTACTGAGTTCCAACTCTGTTTTACTAGGCTAGATGCTGTATGTAGATTATTTCATTGAATCCTTCCAAAAGCCTAGAGAAACAGATGTTATTATTCTCTCTATGCAGACAAAGAAGCTGAAGCTCAGAGAAGTTGAGTAACTTCCCGAGTTCACACAGCTGGCTAGTATGTCTCTATTCTACTTTTTCAGTACCAGGTGCTTCCAAGCTCCACGTGTCCTGCTATGAGACCTTGGCATCTGGACTCCCCCAGCTTGATGTCAGCCTTCACTTACCCAAACACTTCCAGCTGCAGGTCTGGCACACAGATGTTGTCTTCTCCACAGTCCAGCAAGATCTGAGCCTGGGGAGCAGGGCAGCCTTGAGAGGGGAGTTTAGATCCCCTTGCAGGCTGTAGGCCCTCTGCTCCAGGGCCCTGTCCCTGGTGCGTGGGCCCCTCCTCTCAGGTCCCGCCTCCTCGCCCTCTCCTCACCTTGTCCTCTATGCGGCTCTTGCTCTGGTAGTGTAAGACTGGCTGGAGGCCGTGGCTGTCCACAGGGGCTTGAGGGTCCAGGGAGAAGTTGAGGGCGATGTGAATTGGGGAGAGTTTATCTCGGAACTCTGACTCATTCTAGGGGCAGGGGAGAGGGATCAGATCAGGGGACCCTGGGGACTTGGTGGCCCTGTTCCTCAGCCTCTCACATCTCCCTTTGTCTGCTCAGGGCCCTCAAGAATCCAGATGTCCAACCTAAACCATTCTTATTGCTTCAGAGGCCCTGGCAGCCTGGTTCCCAGCTCCTTCGACAGAAGTTCTCCCAAAGTCCCAAGTCCTTCCCTGGAATCTCCCAATCTCTTTCCATCAGGAGGGGCCCCCAGTTCTGTGTGGCCACCCTTCCCAGGTCAGCCCATAGCCCACGCTCAGGCCATACCCGGAGATAGATCTTCATCTCCCGGCAGTCCTCCCGAGCCCCGTTCTCAATGAGCAGGGTCTGGGTCAGGGCTGCCTGTCGGGAGGCCAGGAACAGTGCCCGCCGGACTCCCCCCTTCTGCTTCTGCCAGTCCAACTGGAGCTCCACGGTGAAGCCTGCAGCCGGGGATGTATGTTAAGGAGAATCTGCCTCTTGCTCTTCCTCTATTCAGAGAGAAGGGAGGTACTCCTCCATCCCCTGTACCAGTGCCTCACTCACCAATAGAGTCAGGAACATGTTTTCCAGAAGCATTGAGGCAGAAGCTGAGGTTGATGCTGGAGGAAAACCAAGATGAAAGCTGGTATATCCAAGTGGAACAGGCACCCTATCTTCTACCTACCTCCCGGAGAGTCCCAGACTAGGACAACCCCATTGGTCCCCTTCCTAAGACAGGCCTGGTCTCCCTGCCCACCCCAGGCACAGACTGATGTATCCAGACTCGGTCCCTCCAATGTGCTGGGCTCCAGCTCACCAGGCCACAGGGTTCCCCTCCAAGCTGCAGCTACGCTCCTCCGGGTTGAACATAGCAGGGAAGATGGTGAGGGAGGCACTGGCAGACACGATG